GCGGTGTGTTATTACCATCGTGGGATGCGCTCAGATGAGCATCTTTCCCTTCATCCTTTACACACACTGAAGACTGGCAATTTAATCAAAAAATAACCAGGATTTGTTTCGCCAAAGTGATTAACTTAAACGGGCATCTATTGAAACGGCTCATTAATAGGACAGGTATTATTAATTAAGTCTGGTACAAGTAAATGTGAATACACGCATACAATAATACATATAAATATATATATATATATATATATATATATATATGTGCGTGCATGGGGTGTGCGATAGACTTACCGCCACATGGTGCACCCTGGGCAACGTATACTCATACGGCAAAAAATCTATTAACTGGCAGTTGACTTCTCATTTCAAACTACCATCATCCCACTGTATGCCATATTAGACTACTTCCACAGTACTCACTTCACCATTTTTTCTACTTTTATGTCTGTCTCTTACATCATTTTTGAAATGCTCTTCTGTTCCCCCCCCCCCTCTCAACTTTTTTTCATTCTGATGTTCCTCCCCTCTGTGAAGCCTGAAGTCAATTAAAGGGGTAATGATAACTATCAAAACGCCCGCCATTTGATACAATATATGTGTGTATATATACAAGAGTTATTATCGTAGAGTACGCTATTAACTAATTAGCCAACTCAGCAAATGCCGGGATGCATATATGTGTGTGCGTTTATTTACCAGCGCTCGGTTTTTTGTGCGTGCTTAAATACAACACAGCCAGGCATGCCTACTGACTGAAACTCCGCAGTTTGGGCAGAGGGGGGGGGGAGAGAGGAGATCGGACTTTTCTGATAAGGGGGCTTATAGAGAGTGGACCTTTCTCTCCTCTCCCCTCTTGCCATCCCCCCACTCCTCCCCCCCCCCCCCCCGACAACCCACAAATACTGATAACAATCAATGCTCTCATCTCCCCACTCCCCTCCCACCCAACAGAACCTTCATTTCTCTCCCTCTCCCTCCCTCCCTCTATCTAATGAGCTCGGTCTGTTTAAACCTCACCACCACCTCTCTTTATACGTGTTCCAACTGTAGCATGTATTTTTTACAATGCTGTGAACATTGAACACAGCAATCAGAGTGTATATGTTAAAGTATCAATGTGACATTCCGACTTCATGAATTGTGGTAATATTTGAGTCGAAATATATGAAATTTAAAAACATCCAAAAGAGCTTATTTGTGCCATCTATATTTTAAAGATATGATTGTTATTCATTTGGAGAATGCTAACACTGTAGTAATGGGAGACGATTGTTTAATCAGACCTAATGGGAGAGTAAATTGCTTTGTTTTTTGCTTCGGAGGCTGTGAATAATTTGACTCAAGAAGTTAATTTCATAAATGGCTGTCTAAAAAGCGTTTAAAAATAGTATCACCAACCATTCTCAATTGTTAAAATGAATCAAAAAATTCTGATCATCGTGAATATGAATTTTCTCGGAAACTTTTGGAACAAATTTTAAAATTTGAACTTTAAAACGGCGGAACGTAATTAAATACGAGCCACACGTAACAAGTTAAATCCAAAAGGTTTAGAACGTGAAGTATTTATTTATTTCAAATGGCAGCCATTTTGATGGTTATCATTAGCCCTTTAGCTGACTTCAGGCTTCACAGAAGAGGAGGAACATCAAGGTGACAAAATTTCGAGAGGGGAGGGGACAGAGTTATGATTCACAGTTGTAAAAGAGACAGCCAGGCACTAATGTTGAGTAAAAGGTAAGGCAAGATCTGCTGAAATGATGGAATATGACATACAGTGGGGTGATGGTAGTTAGAAATCAGACTTCAACTGCCGGTCAATAGACTTTTTTGCCGTATGAATATACGTTGCCCTGGGTGCACCACGTGGAGGTAAGTCTATCACACACCCCATGATACCTATCATAACGCCTGCCATTTGAAAACACACCCCAGAGCGTGAAATTTAGATAATCTTATTTCCAAATTATTCACATCCTGATAGGAATTTACATTTGCCAAAAATCGTATGGTTTTTCTTGCATCGAAAAGCAATATTTATCTTATGTTACTGTCATTACTAGTCGAAATAAAATGCTTTTTGTCAATATTCGGAACGAAATCCCCCCCCCCCCACCTCTCTTTCATTTTACTCTTAATTTACCTTGAACTAATCTCTAATAGTGCGTGTCAATAGGTTCGGCTGCCTTACCAGTTCTGAACTCGGTTGTACTTAAGTTCACAGTCGGAAAAGATTCGAGTCTATTCATGATCGTGGTGTTATTGAATAATGCGACTGTAAAAATGTCTCCTAGCACACATCTCAAAACGTTAAAAGTTTCAATGGCGTTAAAATTAACATTGAGGACTATTTTTTCAACTTATAACTCGATTGAGAAACAGTTGCTCAGTTGCATTCAAAACCTGTTCTGAATAGTCTTGTATGTCAGAACAGAACTTGTAAACGTTTCGAAAGCCATTGTTTCACCCTAATTTTCGAATCAATTTAATTTTCATTGACATTTCAAATTGAATACTATTCATTTTATGGACTTTATATTCATAAGTCGAGGTGTGCGTTTAACGTACCTCCACGTGAGGCACCTTATGCAACTTATACTCTTAAAGTAAAAACGTCTAAAAACCGAGAGTTGATTTCTGACTTCAAACTACCATGACCAAACTTTATATCATATTCGACCACTTCCACAGTAATCATGCTATCTTTTCTCTGCCTTTGTGTCTGTCTGTCTCTTACATCTTTGAATCTCTCTTCTGCTCCCCTCTCGAATTTTTCCCACTTTGATGTTCCTCCCGAAGTCAGCTAAAGGGCTAATGATAACTATCTAAACGTCAGCGATTTGACGTAAATAAGCAAATATTCAAAAGTCAACCAAATGAACACATGCATACTATAGCTATAAGCTTGCTAAATTTGAGCTAGGAAGGTAGGTACGCCATGTCCGTAATTAGGTACCACCAAACAGCTCTAACATTATTCATTAATATCTCTCCCCCCCCCACTCCACCCCCACCCCCCACCGTTGTTATATAAGTGAAGGCGATTACTTGCCCAGAATTTGTTTCCCATCTCATCCCTTCAGCCTCCTCTGTCGCCAGCTCCTATTTTCCTCCATTCATCACTCATCCAATAATCCAACTGCTTATTATTAAGGCGGAGGCTGGAGGACGATAGCATCTCTCTTCCCCCCCCCCCTCCTCCCGGCCCCCTCGTTTCTCCTTCTGAGAAGCAATTAACTTGACTTACAAAGGCGCCAGTTTAAGTCGGATCGTGTCTTCTGGGCTGCTTTTTTGAACAATTATGCTGTCCTACCTATTGCCTTCATTTGTCATTTGCCTCCGCCTTCTTAATTGTGATACGGGAACAAAAAATTGTATCAATGAATTAAATATATGCTAGTTAAACATTTTTAAATAAAATACATATCTGAACAATACGGTTATTTTTTGTGTGAATTTATGCGAAAATAAATCATTTTTTTTATTAACATGAATTTTCAACGCTAATAGGAAATAGTATTGCTAATTTTAAGTCATTATCAACAATAAATTTCGTTCAAGTTACTTTAATATATATATATATATATGCATAAATTTGAATGATTTGAAACTTTTGCACTATTCGAGAATATTTTTCCCACCTTTAGGGATACGACCCAATGCATCAAAAATTCTAGTTTTTGGTATTTGTACTAGACAATTTAAACCAAAAGCCTAATCGTCGAACAGAAAGATGGGAGTTTGTTTGATGTCTTTTTTTCTGAATAATGACTGATTGTTTTTAGTGTAAAACAAATTCTGCATTTACAAGAAGAATACTCTAAGATAATTTATTAAATGAATACGCGTATTCGTAATATAAATGTAACGTATGCGAGTAGAAATGAAAACATGCTTTTCTTCATCCAATATGATTGCCACTTTCTATGGAAAAAATTCTTTTGCATTTTCTCGTCTTCATTGGGAATTAACAATGCATTTATATGAAATTATTTGCCTATCGTCCTCGGCATATTCATTTGCATTTCGACCTCACTAATGACTAGCGAATTATTTTAAACTTATCCGCCCAACTTTGGAAAGTCAAGCATTTCAGATGTCATTTGAAATTTAAGTAGAATCGTTTATAAGTAACTTATTATTTTGTGAATGTTTGCTCAATCACAGAGAACGAGGTTTGATAAGGGACTTACCGAATGAACGCATGACCGTAAATAATGCACCTTATTTCTAAAATATGTGGTACATAGTAGAACATTTAATTTTCATGAGCTTAATTACAGTAATTATTTGCATTAGCAAGAAAATTTCTCCCAGCTTACTATTTGAAATATTTCCTAGATTCAAAAGAAAAAAATATTTCAGAATATTTCTGCAACCTACTCTATTCTTGTACTCCCATCAATGCTTAATATTTAATGGAAAGTGATTTCAATTTAAAATTGCGTATATAATATTCTGCACATACTCTAACGGCTTCCGTCACTAACTTATTTCCTGTTCAAATTAAAGTAATTTTTTGATTTAAACCCCTTTTAACTATGTGCCTTTCCGCTCACACTAAAGTGCAGACACTACTAATGACATAAAATTTCACAATAAATTTCAAATGTAATGAGTTCTGCGGCTAAGAAACAACCAAAGTAATAAAGAATGAATTTTAACAAATGACCATCATATTAGCCTGGGGAATCGATTACTTGAACAAGTTTGCCCAAACTTAGGCACAAATACTTTTTTGCATTAAAAAATAAAGTTAAAAAAAATCATTATCCCAATTCATTTTTAATCGTGCAAATTGATCTAAATGATAAGGTGTTTGCGGAAATAGCTTCTCTAAACAATTAAATAATGTTGAAATTTTGTCTTCAGATATTGATGTTCTGCATTTCATTTGTATGTACTTTAATGACTGCACTATTACAGCTGTCTCATTTTGCCATAACGTTGTAATTTATCCAAGCCACAATATTCAGCATTAATCAGAAAAGGAGGTTTAATAAATGCGCAAGACCTCAAGGTGCAACGAACTTAAAGCTCGAACAAAGGAGAGAATTCAAGACCTCAAGGTGCAACGAACTCAAAGCTCGAACAAGGGAGAAATAGTGGACAGTGGCACTCTCCGAAATAGCCGACTGGCTAAGAATCGAACAGTTGGCACTCTCCGATATAACCGACTGGCCAGGAATCGAAGCCGTTGATAGAAGCTCGAACAAAGGAGAAACAGTGGACAGTGGCACTCTCAACATACCCGACTGGCCAAGAATCGAAGCCGTTGCTGAGTCTTACCTCGAAGAAAGGAGAAACAGTGGACAGTGGCACTCTTCGAACCGACTGGCCAGGAATCGAAGCCGTTGCCGACTGGCCAAGAATCGAAGCCGTTGCTGAGTTTAGAGTGGCACTCTACCACATAGCCGAATGGCCAAGAATCGAAGCCGTTGCTGAGTTTAGACTTTGGCCAAGAATCGAAGCCGTTGCTGAGTTTAGACTACGTACGGACAGATTGCATCAAAACACCTTCACAGATTGAGAGTATACACTCAACCCACATATACTCTATGTAACCTACAGGAGGAAATGGAGAAGTCCCACCTGTCTATGTGACCTACAGGAGGAAACGGAGAAGACCCACCATATGTAACCTACATGAGGAAATGGAGAAGACCCATCTGATCTGTAACCTACAGGAGGAAATGGAGAAGACCCACCTGATGTGAAACCTACAGGAGGAAATGGAGAAGACCCATCTGATTCTTAATCTAAGAGAGTATACACTCAACCCACATGCCCTCTGTGTAACCTACATCAAAACACCTTCACAGATTGAGAGTATACACTCAACCCACATATACTCTATGTAACCTACAGGAGGAAATGGAGAAGTCCCACCTGTCTATGTGACCTACAGGAGGAAACGGAGAAGACCCACCATATGTAACCTACATGAGGAAATGGAGAAGACCCATCTGATCATGTCCAGCCCTAAAGACAACGACGGAAAGACAGAGATACTGGGATCCAGCCCTAAAGACAAGTACGGAAAGCCAAAGATACTGGTATACAGGAGGAAATGGAGAAGACCCACCTGATTCGGTGTTCAAAGGAGGAAATGGAGAAGACCCACCTGATTCGGTGTCTAGCGATCAACCCACATGCCCTCTATGTAACCTACAGGAGGAAATCTGGCGAAGCACCTTCACAGATTAGGAGTATACAATCAAAACACCTTCACAGATTGAGAGTATACACTCAACCCACATATACTCTATGTAACCTACAGGAGGAAATGGAGAAGTCCCACCTGTCTATGTGACCTACAGGAGGAAACGGAGAAGACCCACCATATGTAACCTACATGAGGAAATGGAGAAGACCCATCTGATCTGTAACCTACAGGAGGAAATGGAGAAGACCCACCTGATGTGAAACCTACAGGAGGAAATGGAGAAGACCCATCTGATTCGCATACAGGAGGAAATGGAGAAGACCCACCTGATTCGGTGTTCACCAGAGGAGGAAATGGAGAAGACCCACCTGATTCGATGTCCAGCTGAAATGGAGAAGACCCACCTGATTCGATGTCCAGCCCTAAAAACGACGGAAAGCCAGAGGTACTAGGAAGCAAGAAGACAGCTAATGAACTGCTATTAATTAACCGCTATAAATGTACCCCCCCCCCCTCTTGGGGAAGCTGAAGTCAAAGATTAAGGTAAGCAAGAAGACTGCTAATGAACTGCTATTAATTAACTGCTTTAAATGTACCCCCCCCCTCTTGGGGGAAGCTGAAGTCAACATATGTACCCCCCACCCTTGGGGGAAGCTGAAGTCAAAGCTTATGTACCCCCTACCCTTGGGGGAAGCTGAAGTCAACGTTTAAGGGCTAATGATGAATATCACAAAGCCTGCCATTTGAAATAATAATAATAAATGCGTAAGTAATTTTCAAGGTTTTAATTCTAAAATGCTCTTATGATGTGACAGCATAGTAGTAATAATAAAAGATATTAAAAAATGATGTTGAAATATTTCCATAAAAATGCTGTTTAAATGTGTTATTATGTGTTTTTAATGGATTCGCTTTGCACGTTACAATTTAGAGGGCTTTTATTGGCAATATTTTATTTAAGCTCCAATAAAGAAAACGAAGTGCCAAGGAGTCTTAAAATTCACTAAAATTAAATAAAGCATGATTTTTTAAAGAGAGGAATATTCTAAGTTCTGGGGTGTGGTGCACCCTGGGCAACGAATACTCATACGGTAAAATAGTCTATAAACCGGCAGCTGACTTCTGACCTCAAACTACAATGGCCCCACTGTATGTCAATTCTACCACTTCCACAATACTCACCTTACCTTTTCTTTGCCTTTGTGTCTGTCTGTGCCTTTTACATCTTTGAATCACTCTTCTTCCCCCCCCCCCTCTCCACTTTTTCTCACTTTGATGTTCCTTCCCTTCTGTGAAGCACGAGGTCAGCTAAAGAGCTAATGATAACTATCGAAATGTCTGCCATTTGAAGTAAATAAATATTATAAGTTCTCTGTTCATTCATTTTGTATAGATTTTAACATAATGAACCAAATGAAGCTTACTATATCTATTATACGGGTTCGTGGGAGTAAATGGAGACGTCGAGAACTCGAGTAGAACAAATATAGTAAGACGCAGGTTCAGCTTTTTATTACACCGGAAGGTTGAATTTGACTAAGCCTCAAATTCTGTTGCTGAGATGGGCATACAAATTAATTGCTCATTAGCAATACGAATACAGCTACGCAATATCTTATGCATATTCAATGCAAAGTTAGCAATGAGTAAAACCTACCTGTGATTAAAAGACGATTCAAATAAAAGTGAGTTGACGCAGTCAGCCAACGATTAAATTGACTCCTAATAGCATAAACAGAGCCTCACATCTGAACCTGTGAATGGAATTATTAAGTTGAAATGCAAAAAAATTTCAAAAAGAACCATATTTTTTAATAAAACGCTGAACTTTAATGTTTCCAGAGTGTAGAGCGATGAATGCGCTCAACCCCTCCATCCTTCTTAATTTAGTATCCCCACTTGCAGTGCCATGGAGAGCAAAACGAATATCGTGGTACGGTAAAGCGGAGGAGGAATTATCTAAAGAAATAATGCTTGCAATGGTGCTAGTATTTGGAATATGGGGTGTGCGATAGACTTACCTCCACGTGGTGCACCCTGGGCAACGTATACTCATATGGCAAAAAAGTCTATTATTCGGCAGTTGACTTCTCACTTCAAACTACCAAGACCCCACTGCATTTCATATTCGACTACTTCCACAGTACTCACTTCACCTTTTTCTCTCGACTTTTTGCCACTTTGATATTCTTTTTCCTTTCTGTGAAGCCCGAAGTCAACTAAAGGGCTAATGATACCTATCATAACGCCTGCCATTAGAAATAAATATATTTGGAATATGATAGAGGAATTCACCATGGTAAAAAAGTGGTGAATTTTTCTTAATATAAGTGGGACAACCAATTTTCTATTCTTTAGAGTTCAATGCGTATGCTATTTCAATTGCAAAAACATATTCGATTTGATGGAGGCGGTCATTTTTGTGCTTAATAAATGCGGTATTTCTTAATTTAAACAGATTGCAATTTTGGAAGGTTTTTATGACAATAAAGTTTATTCACATGTATCCAAAAGAGGGATTTTTAATTGTACCGAAAATGGGTTTCTTTGGTATTTTATAGAATCGTAAAAATAGTGCTTATTTTTTCAACGACATTTTCATCATAGGTAAACTGGCGTACACTTCAAGTATTGAATCATCTAATTAAAATCGCATTACATCTCAACTTTTTGCGAGTTCTTAAATAGTTGCTATTCATTGTCATAATAGAAATACATTTCATTTTAATTACCCAAATAATTTATTTATATTTATTTATTTCAAATGGCAGGCGTTATG